TGCATGGTATGTGAATTAGGAGCATCCAGCAGTGAGAAGCGGTGAGGATGCTGAGCCAGTGAGCTATTCTGTATCCTTGGAGTGGTCCCTTAATGCGTTGGAACTCCAGCCAGAACAATAAAAATTGTAGCCAGGAGAGGGCTGACACTGTGCCACACAGTGGCCAGGTCACGTGAGGACTTCTGGGGCCATGTTTGAAACTAGGGTCTTGACCCTGAAGACAGTGGGATTCCTAGATATAGCAAAGAAAAATGAAATGATGTCATTTGTGGGAAAATGGATGGAACTGGAGATCATTATGTTAAATAAACCAGACTCAGAAAGACAGACATCACCTGTTTTATATGTGAAATTTGGATTTAAATAGATATGTGTGTGTATACATAAATATATGTATACACACACATATATGACATGGAAGTGGAAGAGGGAACTAAGTAAAGGAGGACAGGAGCCAACAAAATACAAAGATCCATCTGTATGAAAATGTCCTGACAACACCCATTATTTTGCTGGGTGTGGTTGCACACACCTTTGATCCCAGCACTCAGGAGGCAGAGGCAAGTAAATCTCTGTGAGTTCAAGGTCAGCCTGGCCTATATAGTGAGACGTTGTCTCAAAAACAAGCAAATAAAACCCATTATTTGTGTACCAACTAAAATGTTAATGATAAATAAAAGCAGTGGGAGCTGTCAGAGCATCTTGAGTAGGAGTGACTTAGTCTGGCAAACCTCTTTAAAGACTACTCTGGCTGCATAAGGGGGTAGAGGGACAAGAGCGGGCAGGAGGGCACCAGTAGGAGGCTGCATCATGGTCCAGTAGGAGATGGTGGTGGCCTAGGCCAAGGTAGCAGTGAGGCTGGAGGTGGGGGGCAGATTTTCAAGGTACTTCGGAGGAGTTTTGTGGATTTGAGAGGTGACAGAAGCTGAGTCTCAGATTTGTGGTCTTATTGACTGGACGGAGGGTGATGTCGGGTGATGTCATCTGCCACAGCCATAGGACAGAAGTGCATGGTAGAGGAAGGGAACGTTGAGTGGGTGTTGGATATACTCATCTGTGGCGCTCAGGGGAGCAGGCAGGATGGAGGATGAATGTGGCACCTAGAGGGCCTTGAACGTGAGCCTAGTTGAGGTCACCTGGAAGGGAGTGCAAGGGAGAAGAGGAGAGCCCAGGACTGAGAGGGAGAAACTACAGCAGAGGAAGGAGCAAGCATAACCAACTCTTCCTGGACCAATTTGCCCATCTGTGAGATAATCCCACGGAGTCAGTGAGCACGTGGTGATGGAGACTCTGGATCCAGGAGCAACACTACAGTCAGGCCCTGGCTCCTCACATCTGGACTCTGTGACTGTAAAGGGCAGTCAAGGCACTTTCCCAGGGAATCATAAGGCTCACACATGGTACCTGAGGAGAAAGGCTGGACAATAGGTGGGCATGTTGGTGCCTTGTGTCCTGACTGTCATAGTGCTACCCAAACCTGCCCATGCTCATGGCTGCATCCAGCAGTCGGTGAGAAGCAGGAGCCATGCTGGACTTTGGTGACTAGCTGCTAATGCTCATTTGGGATTTACAGAGTAATAAAAAATGCTAGCCCACATCCTTTCTCCCTCCTTCCTTCCTCACATGCTAAGCAGATCACCCCCAGTCCCAGATGTCCACCCCTACATGCTATTGGGCCTCAGGCTTTTCCTTCTTTGCACACACATGCTGATTAAGGCATCCTTTATCGTTTCTGGAATATTCTCAACCATTATCTCTTCAGGTATTCCTCTGGCCCAGTCGCCCTCTGGTCTCCATGCAGAGCCAATACTTAGTGAACAGACATCCACTAGACACTCTTGCCTGTCCTTCATGTCTGTGGCCTCTCTTCCATATTCACATTCTCTCTCTCTCTCTCTCTCTCTCTCTCTCTCTCTCTCTCTCTCATTATTGATAATTTCTTCAGATCTCTCTCCCAGTTTATATATCTCTTTTCTGCTGAGTCCAATCTCCAGACTACAGAGAAGGAGCACTAATTCCCCAGGTTAATACCCCATGGGGCACAGGCATAGGAGACAGAAAGGCTGAAGCCAATCCCACGTATGAACCCAATGCAAAAATCATAATCAGCAAAACCTAACACTGCATAAAAGTAGCAGTAGGCCATGATCAGGTAGTGTCTGTTCCAGAAATGCAGGGTTTAACATGAAAAGGCCAGAGTTCTGACAAGCATGGCAGTATACATCTATGATCCTAGCACTCAGGAACCGAGGCAGGAGGATTGCTGAGAGTTCAAGACCAGCCTGGGCTACAGAGTAAGACCCTTTCTCAATAAAAAAGGAAAGAAGGGGAGGGAAGGGAATAAAGAGAAAAAGAAAACTAGAGTTTGTTGTCATATTAGCCAGATGAAAGTGGGAAAGGTATTTGAGTCTGAGTAGATGCAGAGAAAAATAATTTGATGAAATTAAAATTTAAAATTTGAGGCCAGCAATATGGCTCAGTGTGTAAAGATGCTTGCCACCAAGCCTGATGAACTGAGTTCAGTCCCCAGGACCCACATGGTAGAAGGACTCCTGCAAGTTGTCCTATGACCTCTACACATACACCATGACACACATGTGCCCCCCGTGCATGTGTGCATGTGTACATGCATGCACACACACACACACACACAAATATGATTAAAAGTTAAAAGTCAGACTGGAGAGATAGCTCAGAGTTTAAGAACATTAGCTGCTCCTACAGAGGATCCAAGTTTGATTCCCAGCATGCACATGACGGCTAACAACCATCATAGCTGTTCCAGGGGATCCAATGCCCTCTTCTGACCTTCTCAGGCATTGCACAACACAGGTGTGTTTACATACATGCAGGCAACACACTCGTACACATAAAGTAGAAATAATAAAATATTTTTTACAGTTTAATATCCAATTTAATTTTTTAAAAACTTAATGAAAATGTAACAGAATCAAAACATTTAAAATAAGTACACTCACTACCCACTCCAGAAATTCATTTAAGTCATACTAACTATAGAATATGAAAAATAAATTCAGAAGTGTCATTACTTTAAATACACTACTTCCACTTTTGACAATATTTTACATTTGTATATATATTCTATAGTGGAAGCAGAAACTCTCTCTAAAAACATTATCTTCTTAAAATCTTGAGGTGCATATTAGAGCCACAGGCAATTATCTGACATATAAAATTGCAGTACAGGCCTTTCAAGTTTGGCATTTCTCTGGTACAATACAATGACCAAGGTATAGGACTATACAGTGCCTAGACAGTCCAGTAAGAGCCATTATTTTCTTCAATGTAGAATGATCAATCATATTCTACAAGGGGCAGTGAGGTTAGTAATTCTATAGGGTATGTCCCGACATAATTTTCAAATTGTACAATAACACAAATAATTTTGTTAAGGCCATGTTTTATTTGCTGATTAATGGACAAAAGGCAATGCAATTTATTTTCAAGTATTTTCTTGAAAGTCTGTGCTCATAAAAATCATGAAAAGTTGGAAAGACTGTTAAATCACTGAAAGTTTAAATATATCTTACACAATCTTGTTTGTACAAAAATACAAGTTAAATATAAACATAAAGCAGTCATGGTAATTTATGCAAGTCTGTTTTATGTGATCTGTAGTTATATATAAAAGTGTCTTGGTTATGTTGTTTGTGAAAAGATCAACACCCAATCGAGTTACTATCTATTAGTGAAGGGCCCTACAAAGCTTACTTTAACGTTCAGCTTTTACATGGTTGTATGTGTTTCCTAATTTGAGATCACTTAAACACTGGGAAAAAGAAAATAAAAGGGCAGCATGTCCATACACCAACAAATAATCTGGCTGTGATGTATCATGAAACACAGAGAAACCCCACACATCTGTACAATAAACATGTATTACATACACACATGGGTACACATGCATGCATGCATGTATACACATACTGCATGCACATCAGCTAGGCTGAAAAAAGCCTAATGAGGTGCTGGGTCCAGCTCGATATTCAGCTGTGTGTTTTTTCTGACTTCATCGAATGAATAGCTTTTTGTCACCTTCCCATTCTTGAAAACGGTATGGAGAAGATCGTGACATATTCCTCAAGGTCTCCTTTTCCTTCCTCAAGTGTGACGAAATTCCCTCCTGGTGCCCTATGTAAAGATAACCGGCCCTTTTTGGACCTTTTGTTGGGTCAGCAACTGGGTCCTTCAAGACATTAACCCCAAGTCCACTGATGACAACGCAATTCAAGAGATCTCTTGTTAACTTCTGCAGCAAAGCTCCACCAGAACCAAATAAAATAGTTTTTAAAGATTAAAAGCTCATGCATGATTTTTTTAAAGACCCACTTACGTTGACAAATGAGGGGTTCCCTCCCCCTACCAAAGAATACCCAGAAGAGCCTGTGGCACAAGCCAGGGCCCAAGTGCATGCTCATGGCAGTCTGTGGGAAAACCTGGGACAGTCACGACAAAGGAAAAGGGAAAGTGAGTGCTCATAGGCCTACCAGCTTGTCCTAGGGTCAAGCCAGCTGTGTAGGAAAAAGTAACCCAGCAAGGCCTGGAAAGGAACTCCTTGGTGCCAGTCTGCAACATTCGTACCATTTATCAAGATGAGAAAGACAAACAGAGGCTCTGATTACTGGGAACGCCTGAGAGAAAACTGTCTTGCTGCCTGCAGGACCCTCAGCAGGTCCATCTCCAGTTCTGTAAAGTGGGTAGCTACAAGAAGACATGTTCACATGGGCTGTCGGCCAGATCTGGTGGGAAAACAGGAGGAGATGCAGAGCAGCCTGCTCTCCAGGAAGCCAGGCTCTTGTCTGCAGAGCCTCAGTGGGAGGGAACATCCACTGGGGGTGGGGCACGAGTCTGACTGAGTCAGGGGGCCACTTCTCTCTGCCAAGGGATTATCATTATTCCCATGGCTATTGTTATTGGTGCTACTGAGTACATAATGTGGTTTTGAGATACCCCTAACCACCGCCCTTTTGCTGTTTTAGACCTATAACAGCCAGAGCGAGAGCAATGAAGACTATGAGATCCCTCCAATAACGCCTCCCAACCTCCCTGAGCCATCCCTCCTGCACCTGGGGGACCACGAAGCCAGCTACCACTCGCTGTGCCACGGCCTCGCACCCAACGGTCTGCTCCCTGCCTACTCGTACCAGGCCATGGACCTCCCGGCCATCATGGTATCCAACATGCTTGCCCAGGACGGCCACCTGCTGTCGGGTCAGCTGCCCACAGTGAGTCCCTGTTTCCCACATGGTCCCCATGGGCCCCATCAGGGGAGGGCTTGAAGGGAGCGGGTGGCAGTGCTGAGCTGAGGAGCCTGGAGTTCCACTAACTTTTAGTAGGGAGTCTGAAGAATATAGAGGTCACTTGGAGGGCAACTTACTTTTGTAAGTCTGTTTTGGCATCTTGGGATTGATTTTATTAGTTGATAATAGTATAATCTCAATTTTATTTCGAGCGGGGTTGTTGAGATATAGTCATATGCTATAAAATTCACACTTAAAGTAGGTAGCTTTTCATACATTGGTAGAGTCTGTGCAACCGATTTTAGAACATTTTCACACACGCCCCCAGAAGAAATTCTCACCTTTAGTCATCACTCCCAACTCACCACATACAACCCCCAGCCCTAGACAGCCACTGATTACTTTCTTTTGTTTTGAGACAGAGTCTCATTCTTTAGGCCAGTCTAAACTGCAACTCACTATGTAGCTCAGGCTGGCCTTGAATTCATAGCAATCCCCCTGGCTCTGCCTCCTGAGTGCTGGGATTTCAAGTGTGCATCACCCTGCCCAGTTTCCACAGATTAAATTTCTGCCTCTGCCTATTTGCCTATTCTGGGCATTTTCTATACATAGCCAGGGATGGGGAGGATTACCAAGTTGAAAGTCAAGGGATGGGTTGAAGTTTGGCAGGCAGAGGCAGGGAAGGGTGTTTACAAAAGAAAGCTGGTGACCCCATGGGATCAGTGTGTGATCCCCCTTTTTTTTAAAAATATGGGGCCACAGAGTAAGGACCTGAAGCCAGGGGGAGGAAAAGGAAAGAAATATTGAAAGAGCTTGGCAGAGCCTGGATCATCAGGTCCTGAGTCCCACACTGAGGAGATTATATTTTCTCAGCACAAATGGCTAATCTGAACCATCAAGACCTACAGGAAATCAGTATGACATTTTTTTTTCCTTTTTTGAACAATAGAATAAACTTCTTAAAGGAAATCTAGTACTTTTCTTGAATAACTGATTTGTGTTTTTTTTTCCTTTCTTTCCTTCATAATTAATGTTATATATGCATCATAACTCTTTCATTCATTTTTTAGGTAACACTAACTTAGGTAAAAAAGATCAAAATAGCCAAAGGTAGACAAAAGATTCTAGGCATGGTTCAATCCAGGAACTGGAGTGATGTCATTACAGCCCTACCCACCCCATTTCCACACGGCAGGCCTGATTGCTACTGGCAGCCAACGCATCACTGGCCAGTGACTGAGCTCTGCTGGAACAACCATTGGATCCAGGAACAAAGCAGCCCTCAACTGAGTCACAAGCGGAGCACTTGGCTTCCCTATCAGGGTCACTTGGTATTAGATGGACTGTGTTTGCCACCACCATGGCTGCTCTGAAGCCACAGCTCAGTTTGTGGCCTAATACTAGCAGGTGCCTTGGGCCTACATACCTTTCACATTCTAATCATCTCCACTTCGTTTCCCCCCTTGCTTACCCTTCTTTTAGTACCAATAGATCTCCTTGCCTAAAACCACTGTTTTGCTCTATATATTTGAAAAACACTCACGTTTTTGTTTCGTTGTGCTTTTGAAGCTTGGGGCACAATAAAACAGAAGGGGAAAGTCAATGCAAGATTCACAGTTTGTAGTGTGCACTTCTCAGTGAAGAGCTGAGTAAGAGCCAGGTGTGGCGTCTGTAAGCCTCGTGCTCTGGAGACAAAAGCAAGAAAATCCTGAGTTTGAGGCCAGACTGGGCTACATAGCAAGATCTTGTCATTTAGGACTCGATGGAGCCAACTTAATCTCAGAACTCTGAAGGCAGAGGCAGGTGGATCGCCATGAGATCCAGACCAGCCTGGGATGTTCTACATAGCCAGTTCTAGACCAGCTGGGGCTACGGGGAGACCCTGTCTCAAAAAAACAAGCCAATAAAAAGAACTAAATGGAAACAGGTGCTCCATTCTCCAGGAAGCCTGTCCCTTTGGACCTGAGGTGCTTCCTCTTCTAAGTGGTTGATCAAGTCAGTCTCCATAGTCACGTGGCCTTAACCCATATTGGTAAAAGGTCTACGCCCTCCCCGTTGATTTCTTAGCCATTTCCTATCAAGGTCTTCACTACTCCAGGTGTCCTTCCTGGCAGTTTCCTATAACATAGGCAAAGCCAGGTGAGTATATTGCTGAAATTCCCCACAGTCCCTGCCCTGGGCTGCCAGTGGTCAGTGGAGATGCTGTGGGGCTATGGTTAGCAGGTGGGTTTTGGAGCCCCAGGCTCCACCTCTGGGGCTCAGTTTCCTTGTCTTGGAATCATAGTATTCCCCTGTTGAGATCTTGTCAGATTTGAGACGATGTATGTAGCATCATAGCAAATGTTTGACAGAGCAGACAATCAGGAGATGTTTGCTCTTGTTGTCAATCACAAAGTTGAACTCCTGGGATAGAGAGGTAGGTCAGTTGGTAAGTGCTTGTCTTGCAAGCATGAGGTCCTGTGTCTTATCCCCCAGAAACTACATTAAAAATAATGGCCTGCATGGTGATATGTGCTTGTAATCCTAGTGCTAGGGAGGTGGAAAGAGGCAGTTTCCCCCCTCCTGCCCCATCTCCTGACCCCAGAGCTTTCTGGTCAGCTAGCTTAGCCTCCTGGAAAAGTTCTAGGCCAATGGGAGACCCTATACTAAAAAACAAAGTGGGTAGCGGGGGAGGAAAAACAGCTGAGGTTGTCCTCTGGCCTCTACACATGCACACATACCTAATGAGAGAGAGAGAGAGAGAGAGAGAGAGAGAGAGAGAGAGAGAGAAATAAGGAAGGTTGGGGGGGTTCTTGCTGTAACTTGACCACTTTCTCTGAAGTCCAGATGGCAGCTAATCTCCTGGTGCCCTTCCCAGGCCTCCTGGCCACAGCAGCTCTGATCATCACAAAGCCTGCTCTCTGTTTATCACAGTCCACCCCTGACTCCTCAGATTGAGCTCTGTGCAAACCACTACCTTCCATATTTCTTGAGAACTTGTTCGTGTCTTTGATGCTTCTCAAATTCACATAGCCTTAATTCTCCATTAGTCTAGCCTTGCAGGGGTTCACTCCATTTTATATGCAGTCCTTTCTTAATGGAAGATAAGCTCAAAGTTGTTACCCAGGGCAGAGGCCCACCCCCTACCAACTGAGAAAACCAGATCAGAACAGTGACTTGCACTGGAACTGGCTGGTTGAGAGGCAAGGGGCCTTTACTGCAGAGCTTTTGAATTGGTGGGAACTGTAAGGTGAGGGGGTGTCTGTGGGTGTGCAGAGACTGCTGAGTGGGTGATGCAGGGATTATGGTAACACCTGCTGGGTGTCAAACAGCTGCAGAGGGCTTTGCAAACGCTTTCTCACCCCTTGCAGAGGTAATGGGAAGGCTGGAGGCTGGTGGGGAGGGAGACATCTGTGAGTTTCCTGTGGCTTTGGCTGCTCTAACAAATTACCACAAACTTGTGGCTTAAAAGCAGCAGAAATCTATCTACTCACAGCTCCAAAGGTCCAAAATCAGTACCCCAGGCTGACACCAAGATGCTGGGAGGCCATCTTCCTCCTCTCCAAACCCCTAGGCTCTGGGGGAGGCCATCCTTGCCTCTTCTAGCTCCTACAGGCTGCTGGTCTTCCCTGGCTCATGGGTGTGTCTCTTATCTCTGGCTTCTCTACTGGCAGTAGCAGCTCCCCTGTCCCCCTCATATGCACACTTGTGATGACATCTAATGCTAATCTAGAATAATCTCCCCACGTCATGATCCTGAACTTAGCCTGCCAAGACACTTTGTTTGGGTTATATTTATAGGTTACAAGGATTATGGCTTAGTGTTTTTGTTGTTGTTGTTTGACGTGTGTATGTGTATATGTATGTGTTTGTGTATGCATGTGCACCAGAGTGCACCTGTGGAGGTCAGAAGACAACGTGTGGGAATCGGTTCTTTCCTTACACCATGTGAGTCCTGGGGATCAAACTCAGGTCGTCAGGTTCAGCAGCAAGTGTCTTTACCCTCTGAGTTGTGCCACTGGTCCATGGCTTGATGTCTCTGTAGGGATGGGGAATTTTCCCTCCTGCCATGCCATGGCGATCTTAAGCTATGCAACGAATGGCTTTTACTGAACTACCAGGTACCAGGAATTGCTCCAGGTTTATGATCTCTAAGATCCCTTGAGATATTCCAGGTGCAGATAGAGAAAAGACCAAGAGCCTATGTTATGGTTGGGGTGTGGGTAGTGTTCCCAAAAGTCCATATGGAAAAGTTCAGACCCAGGGAGGTGCTACAGTGAGGTGCTGTGGGCCTTTAAGAAGTGGAGCCTAGTCAGAGGTCCTTGGGGGCATACCCTCCAAAGGGATCCTTGTCACTTCTCTCTCTGGCTTTAGATATAACCCTTCACTCTCACACTCCCATCATGCTGTGTCACCCTCAACAGAGGCCCGAAGCCATAGGGTCCACTGAGTCTTGGATTTGAACCTTCAGAACCATGAGTCAAAATAAACCTTGAGTTTACTTTATGAGCAGCCTGTGTCGGGGATGTTGTTACAGTACTGCAAAGCTGACAAACGCAGCTTGTTTAACAGTAAATGCTCTACTTACTACATGGGATTCTGGAAGAGACTCCTGACTCAGATGGGGGTGGTTGATCACTTCTCAACTGGGGATATTGGCCTTGTGGGATGGGAGTATGGTAGAAGGACACAAAATTTCTACCAAGTCCAGCGATACCAAGCCTAGGCAGTGCCTCAATGGCTTCATTTGTTCAGTGGGGTCACTGGCAATACCAACTGGAGCTTGGTGAGTGCTAGTGTCAGGGATAGTAGATAACCTTTGGAAACCATCCTTGGTCTTCTTATGAAAAGTGACAGTTGGGCATGGGGAAGACCTGTAGATACTTTGTTATCTGGTTCTCAAGTAGGAAACCCAGAATTTACCTAGCAGCTGAGTCCTTCCGTCCACTTCCCAGTTCTAGCAGGGGATGAAGGATGGCACAGCCAGCCTACAGGTGGCACAGAGG